TCACCAACATCTCTGCCGCCTCTGGCAACTCTGAATTCTCAATGTCCTTCTGCAATCTGGTGTCTTTCCTCATCCTGCGGAATCTTTTCTCATTTTCAAATTTTTCCTTGAAAGCTCCACTGTTTTCCTTCAAGGAGTTCACCAGCTCGTTCTGCCTTTCCAAGGCCTGCTCCAGGTCATTCATTCCAGGCTGCAGAGCTTGCTTTTTATTGTTCCAGACCTTGTCATACTGCAATTTCTTCCTTCTGTACTCCAATCTCATGTTTCCAAGTTTTTCTTCCTCCTTGGCAATTCTCAGGAGCATATCGTTCACCCTTCGCCGAAAGGCTGAGAGAGGCTCCTCTCTCCTGGGACCAGGTCCATCCATGGCTTCCGCTTGTGGCCTAGGCTTAGGCCTCTCCAGGGAACCCCCACCAGGGTCTTCCCCAGGATCCAGCATCACTGCTGGGGGTAGAAGAGCAAATCTAGCCCCCGGACTCTGGAAGTATGAGAGCTAGGGAAACAGCAACCTCACTCTCTGCTACTCAGCTACAGAATGATGGTTTCCCAGCATCCCTGTGCTGAGTTCCTGGATCTGCACACTTCGTGTGACCATTATGAGGGACTTCTCACCATCACTGAACTGAGTTCCAGGTTCTGCACACCCGTTGTGCCAACAATGAGGGGTTCCTACATTCATGTGTTGAGTTCCCAGTCCCGTGTTGTCCATTATGTGGGGTTTTCACCATCCTTGTGCTAAGTTCCTGACCCTGCACACCTTCTGTGCCCATTATGAGCGGCTCCCACCATCCCTGTGCTGAGTGCCCATGGCTGCACACTTGCTGTTACCATTATGAGGGGTTCCCACCATCCCAATTCTGAGTCCCTAACTCTGCACTTCTGCTGTGTCGATTATACACAACTCCTACCATCTCTGCTGGATCTGTTTTATTTTTTATATTATGGTGGAGCCGAAACACACAAAGGTCTGAAAGTTCTAGATGCCCGATTATCCACAACATATACCAAAGCCGGGGATTATCCAGTCCACCAAGATCCATCTATACTTAAAATATCACTTTTGAGTGGACTGCCCCTTTATTGGTACATACATTGTCTCTCTTAAGGTGTCGTCAAAAATAAGAAGTATGATACCATTTCCTACTCATAATGAGATTTGGAAGGAACCGTTTTCCATGACTGCTCAATCTGCTAAAGGTGATGACATTTTTGATAAGTTTGTTTAGTTTTTTAAGTCTCTGGCCCAACGAGTATCCCAGATTGGTCCTCTGTGGCTGCATCAAGCAATTCCTGGAACTGCAGGGGCAAAGAAAACTCTAATTTCCTATAGACTTCTTGTATCCAAATAGAAACTTAAGGATGCTGGAAAATGACAAATGTAAACTTCTGATTATAAATTGTGGTCAATTAAAAGCTTTTAAGTATCTCGAATGACAATCAACTAGAATTTGAGAACGTGGGGTCACCCTGGTTGACTTACGTTCAATCAGTACCATAGAGTGTGCAACAGATCTGCATGATAGAAGATTCCCCCTTTCTCTCCTTCTTCAGTCCTCTTTCCCCTCCCCCCCTCTTCCTATAGCTAGCTATAGCCAGGGCACCCTCAGCCGACTCTCCTACGGCGCAACCCCCAATCCCCCCTGCATGGCTCCATTCTCCTGCCGCCTAACTTCCGCAGGCGACAGATGGATATAAGCATCGGGAGCTGGCCAATCAGATGACTCCCTGGCCAATGAGATGACTCCCATGTTGCCGTAACGAAAATGCGTGTTCAGACCCATTCAGATGCATTAAAGGAGAACTATGAGGCGAGTGAAAATCACTCAGCCTCATAGTTCTAGCTGACTTGTGACTATGAAACTGTCACAGGTCGGCTCAATAGATCGGGAAGTGAGCGAACACATACCGTCACTCGCTCACTTCTCGATTCTGTGCTTGCAGAGAGCCGTGACTGTCACTCACGGCTCCCTGCAGGGATCCCTGTCCGATCCTCCAGCGCTGACTGGCGGAACGGACGGGGGCGGGTACAGCTGTCTCTGCCTCTAGATAGGCTGCAGCGTCTCAGTATACCGCAAGCTGTAGCTCCCGATATACTGAGCTTTGGGTCACGGGAGGACGCTAGTTTGTGTCCTCCCGTTACCTTTAGGAGAACTATGGGGAAAAGCCCCGACCCCATAGTTCTCCTTTAAACCCGAAAAACACATCTGATTGGCCAGAAAAGTCACATGTCCGATTCAGTTTCATTTTTGAAAGAAATTTGGACTGGATCCGAAATTCGGAAAGCAAAGGAAAGGAAATTTTCAATAAAAGGACCTAGACAACAAAACATTATGTAACAGAGGGTTTAACTTTTACCTAATATATTCAAAACGAAATAAATCTTTTGGTTGTACATACACTCTAACCTTGCAATGCCGGAGCCATTATTGCATTTTTGCAGACATATTGAATGCACATTTTAGAGATGAAAATTACTTAAAACCCTAAAAATATATACTTTCTATTTATAAATGTTTTTGCTCCAGAGTCACACAACTTTCACCCAATATTCACACATTTTGTTAACTTGATTTATTGGAGAAAAAAAAGTTCTGAATCTGGGTAAAAAGTTGTGTGAATCTTGTGTGAAAACATTTATAATTAGTCCCCTTTGCGCTTTTGCTATATTTGTATTTTGTGCTTAATTAAACTCTATGCTAGTCCTGTAAGTAAACTGAGGCAGACGAGCGACAGGCTCCACCATCAGAATTGGCCGGGGTCACTCTGCGTTAACGCCACCGCAGCATGAACGCCTCATTCTGGGCTGACATGTAAAAAGCAACAATTTGTAATCAGTGGTGTCAGTGCTGCTGGCTACACCTCGCTGATATTTACATGTGGGTAGCCAATAGGGTCCATCTACTCTGTGCCCTGCAGCCATGTACACGTAGCAAGAGCCTTGTACAGGTACAGCGCACGGACAACTTCTTATGCAGGATCTTGCTGGCTGCAATCAATACGATTGTGTGAATGAGGCCTAAAAGAGGCAGAAATTTGCATCCGAGTTCAAATGAGATTTAAAGAAATGACAGTCACATGGCTCAAATACAAATCCTTATCCTGCTGTGCTAGCTTTGTAAATCGAGAATATAGTGCTTGCCAAGTGACTCAGGCTCCTGGAATTCTTACGAGTCATGTGACCTGGCCAACATATATTCAGCGTTTCACTGGTGTGTTTATAAGCCGATGGCCCTGAAGGAGGAAGACAGGCAGATAGCTTTGACTTTTGACACACACACGTTCCTGTATTACTCAGACAACTGTCAGCAAGTCATCAGAAAAACACAGGTTGGGGCCCCATTCATGTGAATACATGTGACCAGCCGCCACAAATGCTGTTACATGTTACATACATGTGTATGGCTGTAAACGGCATGGATTCCTTGGTAAGGTTCATGCAATCAGCTGCGGGTGGGAGTAGGGTTGCCCGCTGTCCGGGATTCACCTGGGTTTTGAGTCCTGTATGTGCTGGCCTAAAACCCGGACACAAGATGTCACGATGTCAGGCGGACAGGGGCAACCACGGGGGCCCTGGTGGAGCTGGACTTGAGTGTATGGAGGGGGCACGGGACATAAAAGAATGCTGGAACTTGGGGAGCAAGGAGGTGTCTGAAACACAGAGTGCAGATACGTCTTGAAGGACACACTCTCCTGGCTGTCTCTCCTCTCTCCCTCCTGGCTGTCTCTCTCCTCTCTCTCAGCTGTCTCTCCTCGCTCTCTCCCCTGTATGTCTCTCCTTGTCTCTCTCTCTCCTGGCTGTCTCTCATCTCTCTCTCCTGGCTGTCTCTCCTCTCTCTCTCCTGGCTGTCTCTCCTCTCTCTCTCCTGGCTGTCTCTCTCTCTCCCCTGTCTGTCTCTCCTTGTCTCTCTCTCTCCTGGCTGTCTCTCCTTGTCTCTCTCTCTCCTGGCTGTCTCTCCTCTCTCTCTCCTGGCTGTCTCTCCTCTCTCTCTCCTGGCTGTCTCTCTCTCTCCCCTGTCTGTCTCTCCTTGTCTCTCTCTCTCCTGGCTGTCTCTCCTTGTCTCTCTCTCTCCTGGCTGTCTCTCCTCTCTCTCTCCTGGCTGTCTCTCTCTCTCCCCTGTCTGTCTCTCCTTGTCTCTCTCTCCTGGCTGTCTCTCCTCTCTCTCTCCTGGCTGTCTCTCTCCTCTGGCTGTCTCTCCTCTCTCTCCCCTGGCTGTCTCTCCTCTATCTCCCCTGGCTGTCTTTCCTCACTCTCTCCCCTGGCTGTCTCTCGTCCCTCTCTTTCCTGGCTGTCTCTCCTCTCACTCCTCTAGCTGTCTCGCCTTGCTCTCTCTCTCTCTCCTGGCGGGAGGCGCTGTATATTGCCATTACGGCTGCCACTGCTCGCAGCTGATAGCATGAGCCTCAAAATTCATACATTGCAGCTGAATTATGAGAACCGGAGCAAAGAAAACAGACTGTGACCATAGCAACCAACCAGTTTAATCTTTCATTTTCATGACCAGCACCGGTGAAATAAAATGTGATTCACTAACATGGAAAATCGGCCCCCCTCCTCCTCACTCTCGGACAGGGGTGGGATACGCTGGGACTTCAGCTGTGCTTTAACTACAAATCCCAACATGCCTCTGGGAGTCATATCTGTAACTGTCAGTCTTACAATGCCTCATGGGACTTGTAGTTCCTCAACAACAGCTGGAGTGCCAAGGTTTCCTACACCTGCTCTGACACATTAAAAATCTGACGGGTGGTCTAATTCTTTACCATTCTATCCAAAAAAATGGCTGGAACAAAAAAACGCCCTGAAGTATCTCAGAAAAAGTCAGCAGAGGATTCATCACATTGAGGCCTACCAGGAAAAAAAAGGAGATTTCACTTTCGGGTGACGTTTGACCTGTTTTTTTTATTTTTGTGAGGCACAAAATGCTAATGTCTTCCTGCTGCGCTAATCTGAACATACTTTGTTTTATTGTATATTTTCATATCTCCAATTCTCTCCCCAGGAAAGGAATGCAGCCAGGATGAGAGCACCGCGGCCGCCATCTTTTCCGTGCAGATGGACGATTATCTCGGAGGAAAGCCTATACAGTACAGAGAGCTTCAGGGCTATGAATCCAGTGCGTTTGTCGGCTATTTCAAGGGTGGAATCAAATACCAGGTAAACTTTTACATGCCAAATGCCCCCTAACATTGGTGGTCCTTAGAAGAGGTGCCCCCCTACAATAGTAGTCAGTGGGAGAAACGCCCTCTTATGTTGGTGGTCAGTGGAATTTCCTGCTACATTTGTGGTCATTGTACTGTTGGTGGTCAGTGGAAAAATGGTCCTTTAGATTGGTGGTCAGTGGAGAAATGGTCCTTTACATTGGTGGTCAGTGGAGAAATGGTCCTTTAGATTGGTGGTCAGTAGAAAAATGCCCACTTACATTGATGGTCAGTGGAGAAATGCCCCTTTACATTGTTGGTCAGTGGATAAACGCCACCTTACATTGATGGTCAGTGGAGAAATGCCCCCTTACATTATTGTCCAGTGGGAAAAAAGCCCCCGAGCACAGGTAATCTGTGTAGAAATGACCCCTTATTTTGAATGTCAGGAAATTGCCCCACTTTGGTAGTCATTGTAGGAGTGAGATTGGTCTGCCATTACTCATTGCTCCAGGAACCCCTAGCAACCTCAGAAGGTTCAATGGAAGAAGGTTCAAAGCAGAAGGATCTAATATTCTTATGTCACTTAGATATCACTGCCCAAGAGATTTCAAGGACAAACAGAGAGTAGACAACTTTGAAAAACTTTTCTCCCAAAAAAGGCTAGTGGTGGAAGTCTCAGATGCTGCCTTCCTTCCCTGTAGCAACAACTGGTCCCAAACCTTTATATTTATGCCTAAAAGTTGACATAAAGGCATCTTTAAATGACAGAACTTTTCCTTTCCTTCAACTCTTTAAATGAATACTCCATCTTTTGGTGGATATATCATATACAGATATTAATATTTAAGCTGAACCTCCTAGACCCGAATGGCATTCGGGATCCGAATTTCCAAATTGCATTCGGGAGCTCTTGAATGCCCTTCGGGTCTTGGAGCCTCAGCTTTAGTAATATATGTATATGGCTCCCAGACCCGAAGGGCATTCGGGAGTTCCCGAATGCAATTCGGAAATTCAGATCAGGTCTGAGAGACATATATTAATACTAAAGCTGAGACTCCCAGACCCGATTGGCATTCGGGAGCTCCCGGATGCAATGTGGAAATTTGGATCCCGAATGCTATTTGGGTCTGGGAGCCTCAGCTTTATTATTATATGTATATACTGTATATGGCTCCCATGTTGATGTGTCCGCACATGTCTAAGAGTGACTATAACATAAGAAGCCGGTAATCCTCAGGTGAAAGGGTTTATTGTTGCATCACACAAATAACTTTAATCTAGGTCATTAACGCATCCTCAAACTGTCTAGTAATAACTCATACCAGAAGCTCTTCCTCTTCTCAAATAAAAGGCTCAGTGTAATAAACAAAGTTTCCAATTAGCATATGTTGTATTGGAAAGAATTACAGGAGCCTGAGCTGGTTTTACTGGAAAAATAAAAGCTGAGAAAACTGGTGAGGGCAAAGGATAACTGCACCTGAAAAACAAAAACAGCTTTCCAACTATAACCTCTTACATCTGTCTTTTCTAGAACCAGGTCAACACTGAGGCAGAACATACACAGAGTGTGACCCTCAATGACAGTTCCAGAAAACCAGCTTTGATCTGCATTTTCCTTTTAATAACTTGGAAAACCCCAGGAAATAACTGAAAATGAAACACTGCTAAAGAGGAAACAAATACAAGTTACAATTAGATATATTTAAGTCTATCTCAGCTATTTTTCTTCCTCTCAGACTGCATATTCTGAATTTGTATTTTCTTTAAGTGACCCTGTCATTTCTGTGAAAAAAAAAATTAGAGAAAGTCAAGCCTTTAAATTTCCTAATTTCCCAGCTGTGGCCGATCTTCTCTCTCTAGCACTACCTCTTTTGGTGCCCATACACTGCTCGATTCTCGTCCGAGAATCGCTGGAAATCCCACGATCGTACGAGAATCGCTGGAAATCCCACGATCGTACGAGAATCGCTGGAAATCCCACGATCGTACGAGAATCGAGCAGTGTGAACGAAGACGTGTGACCGTTTCTAGTGTACGGTCGCATGTCTTTTGTCTAAGGAGCATGCTAGAAAACCAGCCGAAAATCGTACGATTTTCGGCTGGTTAGAACGGTGCTCGGGAGACAAATACCGAACGGGCCGGTGTGCGCACGCGCACACTGCCTGCTCAGCATTGCGGTCATCGGAAGCCTGCCCCTCAGGGGGGCGGGCTTACGATGATCGAGAGTACGATCTGCCTGTCCAAGATAGGCAGATCGTACGTTTTTTTAATCACTTTACAACCATCGCAAGACTAAGGTCTTGCGATGGTTGTACAGTGGCCATATTTAAGGTGCCCATACACCTTACGAGGGATTTGACACTTCCAGGTGTGTGACGTGCCTGGACCCTGGATGGGCAAAATTGTATCTCCTACCCAGGACCGGATTTACTCTCTCTGCTGCCCCAGGGCCAGGTTCCTCAATGCACCCCGTTACCCGCCAAAAAG